ATTACAGTCAAGGGTGTCTTTTGTGCGAACTAAATCCTCTTTCAGGGTGGCCCTCTTTACCAGCAAAGAGTATGTAGGATTTTACTTATTAAGTACTCTCAAGAGGAATCAAGGCCGAGTTGTAAAGGAAAGATACTATCTCCTCTTGACAATTGAGTTAATCTCATGTTCTCTCTTTTTTAATGCCCCATCAACACAGACGTTGTATACCATCAGTTGATCTAGATTCGTCTATAATTAGGATCATAGCACGTGAAATGATCTTGTTCTCTGCCCTAACACGCATTTTGAAGCGAAATCCGGGTGAAAATATGCAGTCTAAAAAAATAAAGCAGTGAAGAACCTTTTTTTTTTTTTGTGGTTTTGTAAGAACATAAATTTTGATTCTATCCTCGCACCTCATCCTACCAGTAAGATAGTAAACACTAAACAGCCATTTTAGTCTAAAAGTATAACAACCTTTTAGTTGCCTTGCCCTTGAACATCATTCTGTCATGGCATGGTATTTATAACATGTCGTACCCCTATATTTGTGTCAATTAGTTGGCGGTCCATGAATTGCCCATAATTTAATAAAAAGAGCCGTACTATTTACATTTTTTATCAATGTTTTAGTTTTTGTGCTTCTCAGCTTCCTTTGATGCATATATGAGAACATTGTTACAGGCCGCTGGTGGAGAATGGAAAGAATCCTCAGAAGTACATAAAATACACAGCAGAAGATCTAGAGCGAATGTTGGGTGAATTTTTCGAAGGAAAAAGCGTGAACGAAACGAAGCGATGAAGCTGACCTCGCCGAATAATTTAATAAGGTAGGCTTGTTTAGCTTGTTCTTGATGATATAGAGGTTGATACTCTTGAGGGTACGGTGTTGCAGTGGAAGTTCATAAGGAAGAAGGCAAGATGCTGATTGCTAAAGATATAGTTTTTGTACGTAGGAGCTGTTAAAAAATACTTAGTGAGTTTGAATGCCTGTTCTGTATTGTCTGTATAGTTCATTTTTAGCCCTACGTGAGATTGTAGTTTTCCGGGTATATATCGTCTAATATGATGACTAAGAATTAATATTCAGGATTCTTTGAAACAACTTTTAGAAAATAACATGATAGCAGTGGGGGGATAAAAATTTCATCTTTTCTAGATTTTTTAAATCTGCTGTGATGTAAGATTATTTTCCGTACTCTTGCAATATTCATGTAGTGTTTTCATTTATATGTCATGTAATCCAACCATTTTATTCGAGTTCAAACATAATATTCGAAGATAGCTAACTTTTTAATGCAGCGAAAGCCTGTTGCAATGATCATATGTAAACTCTGGTTAATTTTTTTTTTTTGGATGTAGTTTTCAGTATTTATTAAAAAAAAGCAACTTTTTATCAGAATGTATTAGTCTATTAGATGAGACAGAGTTGTGAGATTAGTTATATAAATGTCAACATCAATTAGTTTTAATAAAAAAATAAGTCCATCTATCTATCTATGTATTTACTTGTATAGTAAAGTATAATGAGATTTCGTTGTACGTACACAGTAAAAATGTTTTTCACTGTATGTCTACAGTAAAATATCATTTTACTGTTTTCCGAACAAAGAGATAATTAATTCATAAATCCATGTAGTTTCACCTGATTTTGAATTATATTTTGTAAATAATTTGCTTGAATAGCCTTTGGATGTAATTCTCTCAATATTTATAACTAAGAGAACTTTAAGATTCAATGCTAAGAAAATAAATTAGAGGGATTTAATTTAAAATTAGGTGAAGCTATAAGGATTAATGGATTAATTTTCTCTTAAATAAATAATATTTAAAATCAATTTTTTTCCACAAAATTAATAGCATAGGAAAAATTATTTTTAAATCATTCTTAAGATAACATTTTGTAAATAATCTTTTAAAATTTTAAAAAAATGTTATATTTTTAAATTTAAATTAAAATTAGCCATTAATTTTTAAAATCACTCCTAAATATATAAGCTAATAAATTTTAAAATAAAATGTGCGGTAAAATGTTTTAATTCATTTGGGGCGACAATTTATTGAACACTTTTGTTCACATAATTATTTACAATTGAATTTAAATTGTACATAAATATAAAATAGACTAAGATGGTATCTATATTTTCAATATGTATAAAAATAAAGAATTTTAAAATAAAACTAGTACTTTTTTTGTATTTATAACATGCACAATATCATAAATTGTTAACTATATGTTTTTATTAAATAAAAAAAACTACATGTTTTTATTTGTTCTTTTATTTTAATAGGTGGATGTGATAAATTTTTTAATCAAATATGCAATTTAGATTTTTAATATGACAGAGATAATAAATTACAAAATAGAATATGCAATTTATATTTTTATGTTCTTTTAAAATTACTTACTTTTTATTGACTTGTGAACACACATGGTGTATGAAATAGTAAGTTTCACAATAAAATATATTGTTTAAGCTTTTTAATATGCTTGTTTTAACAAATTGTTAAGTATGTTTTTTCTTTCCTTCTGATACTAGGCCTTTGATCCAAATTAATTCAGTCATAGTTTGCTAGCACCTAAATAATTCTATGCATATTGTTATTTAGACTAGATTTTAAGTGGGCAACACTTGTATATTAATATACTTTTATCTATTCAAATCAAGACATGAAAATTTTAATATGTTCATAATATTAATAATAAGAACTTGTTATAGAATAAATAATTGATAAAGAATACACACCTCATATAAAAGTTAAGTATATAAATTTTTTTATTTTAAATTACACCAATGAAGTATTATGAAAGAAAATAAAATGTCATTTATATTTTCAAGAAGTGCACGAATAAAAAATTTAAATCAAAATACATTATTTTGTATATTTTAATATGCACCGGCAATAACTTACAATGTTTTTGCACTTTTTAAATTAATTTTTTAAGATAGTAAATTGGATAGTTGTTATCAAAAATTTTTAACATATCGTTTATATTTCAACGAGTTCATTTTTAAAAATGGAAAATAGGATTAAAATGTTTTAATTTAATTTTTATTTTTCTTTTAAATTATCTCTTTATTGAAATCTTTTAACCTCACTTGTCTATTTTTTTGAACTGAACTCACCAAAATCTCTCCTTCATCACTTTTATAATTTTTCGTATTTAAATTAATTTATTTTCTTATATTGATACACTTTTATTTATTTTATAGTATCTTGATCACTAGTGTGTCAGTATCATCCGATTCAATACATCCCGTGTTACAATGATAAAAATTTTATGTAGACTTAGTCTGTTCCATGCCTAATAGCAAGCAGACTATACCAAGTGGTACACTAACTTTAGTATTATACGTGCTCTTTTAAAGATACTTTTTTAATTAGAAGTTCTTTTACCAATCATTTTATGACTTTTTAATACTTTGAGATTTAGGTTTAATATTTTGTCGAAAAAAATTTAGTTTGAATACAATAGGACGCCCTTTTGGAGATTAAGAATTCAAGACACACATAGATTTATATCGTTATTTAATAATAACGTGGTATCTTAGTTTTGCTTCATGAATCATTTTTCAGATGAAGAGACTTTACTTTTTAGGAATCAATTTTTTTAAAAGAAATAATGGATAAATTGAAAAAAAAGCGAACAAATTATCTCCTAAACCTTGAGTTTAATAATATTATAGATCCTAAATTTATTTATTATGTAAATTATTCTTTCTATTTTAAAAAATAATATGATTTAGTCATTGCTATTAATAAAAGTTAACTTTAATTATTAATTGATCAAAAATGATATAAAATAATCTCAAAAATTATAAAAAAAAACTTTTTTTTGTGTGCATAATTCTCTTATTAAAAATAATCTTATTTAAACTATATTCATATATTAAATGCTGACACATCTTTTGTGAGAGTTTGAATTTCTTTTTTATTGCATGCATAAATATATTTTTATCAAAAGTAATCTTATTCGAGTTCTACTTAGATTTATAAAAATGTTTGATTACAAGCAAAAAAAAATCATAAAAGGTCATAATTTTTGATTGATTGAACTCAAAGTCCTCAAAACCTTTATAAGCTGAGAGAGTCTAGCAGGAAAAACAAAATCTCAAACTAAATAGAATTCCATGTTTGAGATCACAGATCCCTAGAATCCAGAGTAGCCTGATGCATATGATGATAGAGTTGGGAGTAGTAATCATTTATGAAAGTGGAAAGAGAGGCAAGGACGTGAATGATGCAAAACACTGTAATGCACATTGATAATTCCATCAATCATTCAAGGCATTATTATTTAGTATTTTGCAAATGGAGTGCTTGGTGGTGTTTGTGTTGGTGGTTCCTCGAGACTATAAAAAAAAAAAGAAAGAAAGAAAGAAAGGCCTGTCCGTTCAAACAGACAAGCGTCCTCTGTCTCTTTTTCCTCGTTCTTTGCGGAATAATCTCCTTTTCCTCCGCTTTCTCTTTTTCTCTTTCTCTCTTTTCGTTTTTTTTCAGCTTATTCTTAACTAAAGCCATTATTCCCCTTCCTTCTCTTCAAACCTTGTTTCTTTCCCTTTGTTCTTTTCTACTTCCCTCCCCCACTTTACATTATCCTCTCCCCTTTACACAATCACTCTTCCTGCTCTTCCACCTAGGTAAAAAAAAAAAACATTTTTAACTAATTTTATTTATAAATCATCTCATCAATTTTTAATCAATTTTTTTTGTTTTTACTTCTTAAATAGTGGTGAAACAAAGTTTAATAGAAATAATGAATTTTAAGATTTTTTTTGGATAAATCATGTTAATGATGGGAGTATATAAATTAGTATTATACATTTATACTCCTACTCTGAGAGAGAGAGAGATAGATTGAGAGAAAGATAAAAGCTGTATTCATCCATCACATGCAATCCACTTTCCCATACAAAGCCAAAATTTCCCTCACTTGCAAGAAAAGCACAAATCCCACATCAAATCTCTCTCTCTTGCGTCCTATAAACCACCACGCTTATCTCCACCCCTCTCTTATTCTCCATATCACTCACTATCTTCTTCTCTCTTTCCAACCGCTCATTCATCTCAACTTCTCTTAGTTTCACTCTCTCCTGTTTTTGTGTGTGTGTATATATCTTCAATCATCAAATCACTCTCACCTTTGTCTGTGAGCTAGCTGTTGCTGTTCTTGCTGTTGCAGAAGCAAAGTGTCCTTGTCGCCATGAAGCCAGCTCGTAGATCTTCCTCCTGAATCCTATTACTAATCAACTAGCTTGGGCTCTCTTGTTGAGCACCTTTGTGCGAGCTGTTCTGCAGGTTGTAAGTAGAGTCACAACTCGGTGAAGAAGAAATTAAAGAAGATGAGGGCGGGAATTTGCAGCATACAGCTTCAGGCTCTGACAGCAGAGGCAGCAAATGTTGTGAAGCAAGCTGTGAGTCTAGCCACAAGGCGTGGCCACGCTCAAGTCACACCTCTCCACGTGGCAAGCGCCATGCTCGCCACTTCCGCGGGTCTTCTCCGAAGAGCTTGCTTGCAATGTCACTCTCATCCTCTCCAATGCAAGGCCTTAGAGCTTTGCTTCAACGTGGCCCTCAATCGCCTGCCCGCGTCCACACCGAGTCCACTCCTGGGTCCTCACTATAGCACCCACTGTAATTCCAATAACACCCCTTCTCTTTCTAATGCCTTGGTGGCTGCTTTCAAGAGGGCCCAATCTCACCAGCGACGTGGCTCCATTGAGACTCAAAACCAACCCATTCTGGCTCTCAAGATTGAATTAGAACAACTCGTAATCTCCATTTTAGATGACCCTAGTGTTAGTAGGGTCATGAGAGAAGCTGGTTTCTCAAGCACACTTGTGAAGTCCAAGGTGGAGCAATCTGTCTCAGTTGAGATTCCCTCACAGCAACAAAACACAACAGCTAAGTCTAAACCTCCTCCACAGGTTGTCGGTCACTTTGAAGGCTCGTTAGTTTTAAAGCCTATTAAGAGGGACAACGACAACAGCAACAACGTTAACAATGACGATGATGTGGAAAGTGTAGTGAGTGAAGTGTTGAACAGGAGGAGGAATGTGGTTGTCGTGAGTGAGAGTGTGGGTAATGCTGAGGGACTAGCTAGAGGAGCGATGGAAAGGATTGGGAATGTTGTGCAGGTTGTGAGTATTCCTCTTGTGTCTTTCAGGAACATTAGGAAAGAGGAAGTGGAGAGGAAGATTCTAGAACTGAGGTGTCTTGTGAAGAGCTACATGGGAGGAAGTAGTAGAGGGGTTGTGTTGTATTTGGGTGACTTGAAGTGGTTGTTTGAGTTCTGGGAAAGTCATTGCTGTGCTAATAATCATCAGCAAGAAATGATGATGATGATGAAGTCTTATTGCTCAGTGGAGCACATGGTTATGGAGGTGAAGAGATTGGTGAGTGCAAGTGGTGGTGGAGAGATGAGTACTGGTAATAGGGTAAGCCTTATGGGGATTTCAACTTTCAAAACATACATCAAGTGTAAGACTAATTGTCACCCTTCATTAGAGACTCTTTGGGAGCTTTATCCCTTCAGAGCTCCTGTCCCCAGCCTCAGCTTGAGCTTGAATATTCACAGGTAATAATTATTTAATCATCTCTTTAGTTAATGTGTGTGTGTGTGTGTGTAACTCTTCGTCTTTGTTGTCTTTATCAAATATCTCAGATGTTTTGTTTTGTTTGTGGGTATAAGTAGTGAATCTTACTTTGTTTCTTTTTGCTTAATTCAGAGATTTGGAAGCTCAAGATGGGTGTTTTGAAGATGAATCGTCAGTGAGAAAGAATCTAACTTGTTGCAGAGATTGCTCAGTGAGTTTTGATAGAGAAGCTCAAAGCATTATCAACACTAGCAGATTAGCCAAGAAAGACTGTTCTGGTACTACCATGTCTATTTCTTCTACCTCGCGCTTGCCAACTTGGCTCCAAAATTGCAAGCAAGAGAAAAGAAGCCATCCATTAGACGATCAGGTATTAATTTTATGGATGCTTTCATTTTATTATATATTACTTATTAAGTCCAGTTAGTAGACTTTTCACACCGGGTCAAGTCCGGCTTACTCCAGATTTAATTCATATAAAGCTTGGGTGACTGATTCGTTATCTTTAATAATGGAGCAGGACAAAGGGAGGCTGAGGGATCTGTGCAAGAAATGGAACTCCTTTTGCAGTACAGTTCACAGGCACACTTGCAACATGCAGTTGCTTTCGGAACCAAAAGAAGCAGCAAAATCAGAATGCGAGTTGTACACAGACGACGTCGTTTGCTATGAAAGCAACAACTTAATCATGTTCATGCCAGACAATAATAACAACAAGCCAGATCTTCTCTCAAACCCAAACTCAAGCCCCAACTCAGCTTCTTCAAGCGAAGCCATGGATGGCTTGGACAGCACCCACATGTTCACTGAGCTTAACGAAGAGAATCTCAAGATTCTCAGTGATTCCATGGAGAAAAAGGTATCTTCCAAACATAAACACGTTGTTCATGAGATTTCAAGCACTGTGCTTCGTTGCAGATCAGGAATATCATCGAGAGAAAATAGGAAGAAGAGACAGGACACATGGATGCTGTTCCTGGGTGATGACTGTAATAATGAAGAGAAAGAGAGTGTCTCGAGGGAGCTAGCAAAGACCGTGTTTGGTACGTACACGAATTTTATCACCATTAATGGTCTCAGCAGTCCTGTCTCTTTATCTTCAGATGATCAGAAAATGAAGAAGAGAAAACGAACAAATGATGACGACAATGATGACGAGAGGACTTTTCTGGAGAGATTTGGAGAAGCACTGAATGAAAACCCTCACAGGGTGTTCTTCATCATCATGGAAGATTTGGATGAAGCTGAAGAAGAAGCTTTTAGAAAGAGTAGTATTAAGGAAGCGATTAAAAGTGGAACTGTGAGACTTAATGGTGAATTAATTCCTCTGAAGGATGCCATTGTTATTCTGAGCTGTGAAAGAAGCTGCCATTCTTGTCCTCTAGAGAAGAAGATCAAAGATGATCAGAGTCTCTGCTTGGATTTGAACATAGCCATTGATGATGGAGAATATTGCACCAGAATTGGGGTTCAAGAACTCGTTGATAAGCAGATTATTTTTAACACACATGAAACTCTGATAGGAGATGATCAGGAAAATTAATTTTAGATTTAGTTTGATGATACCTTTTCTTTGTTTTTTTTTTTTTGGTGTTGTTGTATTGATTTTCGGTTACTGATCTTGGCGGGAAAAGAAATTAAGACTTGAAATGCAATTTGTTATATGATATAGATTTCAATTAGGGATATGATGCCATTGTGGATAAGTTAATGTATTGTATGATCTTATTCTGAATGTATAATATATGTGTTGCGCCTGTAATTCAAATATATATACTCAATATGTTTTCTGGTAATTGGTCTTTTTTTTTTAATCTCATCTCAAGAAATATAAGTTAATTAGTAATTAAGTGGTGTACATGAACTCTCATGATTTCATTCAGATCGAATCAATTAAAAGTGAGAATAATAACAAATGGCCCATATTTTTTAATATCATGCTCATGCCCATTAGTTCCTACTGTCTGCATGATCTCAAATTTCTCTTTAAAATAATTTTAAACGTACGTACACAGGTACACTTTTTCTTTTTACTTGGATTTATTTAAGATTTTATTATTCAAGTTGATGGCACGGGCAAGCTATTCTTATACCAAGTCAATATTTATACTCCTTTCATCTCAAATTATAAAATATTTTTTGAAGAGATTTGACGTCTTAAAATATAAGACACTTTAAGACGATTAAAGTTTTATTAAATAGGTTTAGTGTGATATTATCATCTCTCTCTCTCTCTCTCTATTTGATAATTAAGAATAGATTTAAAGTTATTAAATAAAGAATATTTTTAAAAGGTTATATTTTTATTTTTAAAAAAATAATATTGTTATGTATATTTAATATGATTTATTAGTCTGTGAGATTTTGTTCAAAAGTGCTTTATAATTTAAAAAAGAGTGATAGCATATAATTATTTTTTAGTATTAAAATTTAAATTAAAATTCTGATATGAGGTTAAGTCAAGTCATTTGTTGGTCAGGCATGCATGCCTAACATCTTAAACAATATTTACAAAAATCTATATTATCTATTAGCCAATATATTGAAAATTGAATCGATTATTGAAGCAATTAAAATATTAGTTTAAAGGTTAATAATCAGAAATAAAATTGTAGGCAAACTATGATAATCATAAAGAAGACATTTTATTGATTCAGTCAAAGCATTGATTCAACAAAATTTGGTGGTGAGGTTGTTGAAATTCAGAAGATAAAATAAAAGAAGTGGGCGAGAGCTTGTTCTTTGAAGAGGAGTTTGGCAGGCACGTACGTAGGTGCTCCACATTCATACATTATAAGGCTGCCATTCTCTTGTGTTTCAGCTTTTGCTTTATAAATCACCCACACACGCATGTACACTTGCGACACACCTGATAAATCCCTTTCAAGTTGAAACTACGTACACTCTCCAATTTATACTTGCTTTTCAACTTTTCATTCCCCTTGACAGTAGCCATAGAAAATATTGATTCATTTCTCACTATGTTATTATGGTATGAGTCCACGCCAGCATCCGCCTGTGAAATGTAGTTTACAAGTTTAAAGAATTCTTCTACTCAATACATTAGTTTTTTAAAATAGACTCTTTTTTTTATATTTGTATTTGTAACATACCAACTTACAAGATTAACACAATGTTATAACTTATAACGCTATTATTATTATTATTATTTTGGTCAAGCAATAACTCATATATATTCATCCCACGGGCTATAGACTATTTGTTTATTTAAAAAAATAATGAAAGCTGGATTAAGATTCATTATTAACGTACGACAACTGGTTCAAGTGGTCTAGCTTTTGTTTTCTTTTAAAACAGATCTTAAGTTTAAGTCTGCTTGTATGTACTTAGAGAAAATTATTGATATAACTAAGTGCTTTACGCCCATGTGGTTTATTTGACCAAACGCTATCTAATTAAATTAGTCAAAGTCCTATGCAACAGAGCATTGGAATTAGTTTGTATAACCGAAACAAGAAAGCTCGGTTGAGATATTTATATTAAATTGAATTTGAACCTCATCTTCATTTGTTTTTCATATCTCTCTTTGTTTCATAATTCAAACTGTTGAAATTAAATTTTGCTGAGATGTCCAAATGTGAGTAGATTTGAGCTAATGTAAAAAATCTCACATCAAATAAAATTGAGCTTGATAATTAATATAAAATATAGAGGAATGACCTGATATTCTTCCACTACTCTAAGTATTTATTTGTTAAAAAATTAAAATCTCTAATAATTTATAAATAAATTATTAAATCAAAACATTAAAGTTTTTTTTGTTTTTGAAAGCTAAGCAATATTGAGAAGAGTTTGAGAAATAAAGTCATAGAATGTCGCACCTAATTGTAGTGGCGTAAAACACACGATTAGAAAAGGAAGGAGAATAATAGAAGTATTATATTGGGGAATAAATAGAGATGAAACAAGGATAATTGAAATGTATCTTTAGAGGAAAAACAAGAAAAGGACAAAGTTTAAAGATGTATAAAAGGTGCATGAAGGAATTATTCATAGCGTAAGCATTCTGCAAATTAAAGGAAGGCTTACAAAATATCAAAGTGAAAAGCCCTTCAAGATCCATGTGAAAAAACTTTTTGCTTCGTCGTCTCACAATATATATATATATATATATATATATATCGTTTTATTTTCAACAGTACAGAACTTGCTTCTGAACCCAACATTTATATTCTCATCCTCGTAAAAAGCGCGCTCGCACACACACACACATATATGCATGCATGCATGGTCAACAATATTAGACGACCGCCGTAGGTAGAAATAAGAATCTATGATTTGGTTTAGACCAAAAGGTATTCGTAGAATTGAGACGTATAGGAACTTATATGTCGTTAGTGTCATACTAGTCGGAATTAGCACATAAGCTTGTCTTTAAGAAGCCATTAGTTTGAAAAGAACTGGACTATATATCCACCAAGGATAAATTAAAAAATATAGAATCAAAGCCTTATCAATCTATTCTTTTATTAATTAATAACATAAAATTTAAAATTTAAAAAAAATCATTTAGTCTATATAATTTTAACTTACTCAAAACTCAATCTCTAAGTTTTAACTATCAATCCCTGTAGTTTTATCCATTTAAAATGTTGGTTTGTACTATAAATTAGATGTAGTGTGTATAATTCTCATATCGGAAAAACATATATATACATAAACATGATCAATGGGCATATCAATATCATAACTACCCTATATAATATCCCATAATAGTGTACAACATTTTGTTACAAATAATATTATATTATATCTATCAGCATTCCATATTATTCAGGCCATACTATATCTTGGATGAACTCCAACACTCACCCTCAAGTTGGCATGTGCAGATCTGCACCTAACTTGTTTTAAGAGTCCCTTCAGTTGATCTTTTCCAAGGGCTTTCATAAATATATCAGCTAATTGGTCTCTTGTCCAAACCCTACATGCATTATCGCCCCTGACTAGTACCTTTCTCTTATAAAATAGCAACCCATCTCTATGTGTTTGGTTTGCTCGTGGAAAACTAGATTCATGGCTATATTGTGGTGATGGTAACTTTTCGAGCAATCATCACAACCAAATAATTTAACTAACAGCATAAGCCATTGCCGTGTGCTCTACTTCAAGTGATGATTTTGCTACAATGCTTTGCTTCTTAGTTCTCCATGAAACAAGAAAACCTCTTCGAGACATGAAGTACCCACTACATGATCATCAACTCAAGGGATAGCCTCCCAAGTCTGCATCACAGCATGTTTGGGGCTTTAAATTACCATTTACTTTAAGTAGAATGCCTTGTCTATACTTTAAGTAACGCAGCACTCTCTCCGCTACTACTATGTGTGAATTTTTAGGTTTAGATGTGAACTGACTCAATATATTGACTAAATGATGTCTGACTGTGTTATTGTCAAATATTATAATTTTCCAACCAACCTCCCATAGTGTGTGGCATCTACCTTGGGCTCATTTTTATCATTTAGCAACTTGCAATGCTATTCCATCGAGAATGCACTAGGCTAAATGTTTGTCATTTTTGTCTCCTTTAAAATGTCAAGTGTATACTTTTGCTAACTCAAAACAATACCTCATGGTGGTGGGCTATTTCAATGCCAAAGAAGTATTTCAACTTCTTAATATCTTTGATGTTGAAATGCTAGTCAAGATACTTTTTAGTTTCTTGGATCTTATTCACATCATCTCTAGTGTTAACCTCTAGAATTTCATATTATTTCATCACATTTTTCTCAAATTTTAATCCATTTTAGCTCAATTATATATGTTTTTATTGCCTAAATTAGGAAAATGTGTATTTTATTTTGGGTTCGTATTCTTGGCTTTAATTTGATATTTTTGGTTTAATTTCATGTTATTTTGGTTGAAGTTTTGATTAGAAGTATTTTTAGAGCTTTGTGGATGTTTTTGGAAGGCTTTTGGATGAAGAAATCAAGTACAAAATGAATAATTTTCGTTAGTTGCAAAAACAGTGCAAAACTACCAAAATCGTAACTTTCGTTCGCAACTTTTGCCACTGTCAAAAAAATGCTACGTTTCATTTATCAAAATTTGGTTAGCTAGGACATATATATGCTGAAAGTTTGACTCAGAATGGATTCTTCAGATTTTTAAACACATTTGGGGCCTTGGTATATTAGGGTATGGGCATTAGAAGTACTTGAAGTAAGAGAATGGAGTTTTGAAACATTTAGAGCTCCTTTTCTTTTGTTTTTCTATTCCTCTTCCCTTTCCTTCTTATAATCTTATAATCGTTGTAAATATCTTATGTATTTGTAGCTTTTTGATATTTATGAGTGGCTAAACTCCTTACTCTAGGATTATTTTAAACCCTTGTATGGATTAATACTATGTTCCTCCTCTCTTTATGTGATTACTAATATATATGTGTTTATTTTACTCTTTTTTTAATGCTTCTAAGTGATTGGCCACCATTTAGATGTTGGCTTCACTTAATTGATACTTGAGAGGGCTAGGTTGAGTGTAGAACTTGGGTAAAATAGTGCAAGAACTTGATATTTACATGTTGAATGAATAGTTTTGCTAGCAAGATAAAGATATACTTGCTAGCCTTGTACAGTTACATTAGTGCTGGTGTTTGAAATTGAATTTTATTAATTATAACAAGAGATTGGACAATTAATTTAACTAAATACTTGTTCATGACTTGAGAGAGCTTGTCTAAGTATTTTTAAAACCTTAGGTTAACACTTGTTTTCATTCAAAGCATTTATAACAGGAGATAATTTTGGTGTTATGAAATGCAAGGGGATAA